TTTTTTTTTTTTTAATAAATCCCCAGGGGCTTACATAGTGCCTGGCACATAGTAGTTGCTTAATAAATTCTTGACTTTGAGCAACTTTGAGCAATTCTTGACTTAAAAACTTGACTTTGAGCAACAGACTAAGTAAGAATTTAAACTTAGTTCTAATTTCAGCTTTGGAAAAGTGCTCTGTAACCCTAGGGTAGAGCACTTAATCTCTGTTCCTTCCTTTGGTGGAGGCAGCTGCAGCCAGAAAGATTGGATTGACTATTTAGTGAATTTTTAACCTTGGAAGCAGGATGATTAATCCCATCTCAGTGTTATAGTAGGATCTGTGAATCAAAGTATGCTTTTCACCGGTGTCTTTGAAAAATCTTAGGGCTCTTTTGAACCAGAGAGCAAAAGTTGGAGGCAACATGTTGAGGGAAAGATTGCTGGACTTGAAGTCACAGGCCTTAAATTGGAATCCCAGTTCTCTCATTATGTGTGATCTTGGGCAAGTCACAGCCTCTCAGGGCTTTAGTTGCTTATCTATGCAGTGATGGAGTTGGACTAGTAGACCAATCAATCAATAAACATTTATTAAGCACCTACTGTGTGCCAGGCACAAAAGGAGGCAAAAAGATATTAAGTTACCTTTCCAACTCTAAATCTTTGAAGTTAATACCATACATCTCCCTAAAACAATGTCATCCCCAATGTTTTCCCATAAGCCCTTTGTTTTAAAAAGGATTGAGTTGTTAGACATTCTGGGTGCCTAATAAGTAGATGCTTGATAAATGTTTATTGAATTGAAGTTATGTAGTAGAAAAGAACTCTGGATTTGGAGTCCATGGCCTGAGTTTGAATCCCAGCTCTGTTGATTTATTGCCTGTAAAGTCTTAGGCAAATTCCTTAACCTCTCTGGGCGCTTCTTCGTCAGTAAAAGGAAGGGTTTGGACAAGATGGCCTTCTGAGGTCCCTTTCAGCTCTTATCTATCGTCCTCTGACCTCTGAGGTCCCCTCCATCTCTTAAATCTATGCTCTATGAAGTTTGAGTCATTTCTCCAGCTTGCTGAACTTCTCTCCCTTCCAGGAGAACTTAGTGATGTGACTCCTCTGGGGAGAACATCTGTTCTCTCTCAGTCCCATCCGTCTTCTTAGGGCATGGGGTGTGGGGTAGTTGGAGAGAATGCTGCGGCTTTCAGTTTAGTTGGGTAGTAAAAACTGTTCGGATACTGCACAGAAAGTAGGTGCAGCTTTTCCCTTTCTTCTCCTGTTTTTAAAACCCTACGTCTTTCCTGTTGTTCATAGCTCAGGGCACCATTCCGACCCATCACAACAGATGGGAGCTGCAGCTCTGGCTGTTTGTGTTGCTATGGTGAGAACTTCCCTCCCACAGGCATGAGCTCCTTTTTGATCTGCTTCCTATTGGGCAGGGGCCCCACTGACCAGTCCAGTGGTGCAGCTGATGCTTGTTCCTACCTTGATAAATTGAAGGGCCGAGGGCCTCCTGAGAAGACTGAATTTATACCCTTCTAGCACTAGGGGTGTGCTTTCTAATCAAAGTGAGAACGGTTGGAGGGAGAAATTCTGATATGTTTGGTGGGGAAACCTTGTTATTGTCTGGGTTTAGTGGCTGGAAGACCGAGATCCACCAGTGTCAGTTTGGTGCCTTTTGGTACTAATTGGCTAAAAGAGAAAATGATAAAACAACAACAACAAAGCAATTCCCGGTGCCTTGAGATATACAGGTTCCTTGGAATTTTGTTTTGTTTTCCTTTCACCTACCTCCCCTTGTTAAAGGTACCTTGTGGTCTTTGGAGCAGAGGAGAGAGAGAGAGAGAGATATGTAGCTTGGCCTTGTCAGTTTTGCTAGTTGACCCTGTAGGGAAGCATCATGTTGCAGTGGAAAATGGGCTGGATTTGGACCCTGAGCATCAGACATATTCCCTGGGTGATCTTGGGCAAATCTTAACCTCTGGGCCTCCGGTTCCTCAGCTGTAAGAGGAGAGTGTTATAGTAGATAATTTCAGAGGTCTCTCCCATCTTTATATCTGTGGTCATAGGAGAGGCAGCGTGGCATAGGGTTCTTTTTCTTTTTAAATTATCAGGGTTGGGGAACCTATGGCCTCCAGGCCACATGTGGCCCTCTAGGTCCTCAAGTACAGGCCTTTGATTGAATCCAAACTTCACAGAACAAATCCTCTTAATAAAAGGATTTATTCTGTAAAATTTAGACTCAGTGAAAAGGCTGTACCCAATACCTAGAAGGCCTCTTGAGGCCACAGGTTCCCCAACCCTAAATTAAATAACATTTTTTTTTCCTAGTTAGTAAAGACAATTTTTAACATTCATTTAAAAAAAAATTTGAGTTCCAAATTTTCTCCCTCTCTTTCTCACCTCCCCCCTTTCTGAGACAGTAAGCCATTTGATATAGATTATACATGTTCAGTCAGTGGCACAGGGTTCTTAACAGGGTCCATGCATTTTTAAAAATATTTGGATAGCTATATTTCAACATGTTGGCTTCCATAACAGGTACAGGGGTCCATGTCTTTTTTTTTTTTTTTTTAAAGTGTGATGACTATATTTCAACATAATTGGTTTCCTTTGTAATCCTGTTTTTTTTGTTTTGTTTTGTTTTATGCATCTAAAAACATCATCCTGAGAAAGAGTCCCTCTCGCACGACTGCCAGTTGGGGTCATGACACAAAAAAAGGGTAAAGAACCCTTGGCATAGGGGATAGAGACGTCCATTCAAATTCTGCCTCTGACTCATATGGACTTTGTGATCTCAGATCAGTTCATCTCTTAGTACTCCCAGACAACCCTCTAACAATATAAATTACAGAGATGGTAATGACCTGCACTGGAAGGCATTTCCTCATGTGGAAGTTCCTTTTGTCATGAAATCACAGATCCAATCCCTGTTCTTTTCCCAAGCCTTATTCTATGATTTCAATGGAATGGTTTTTACAAGTAACTCCATAAGGCTACCTAGGCTTCCCAGTTTAGTGATAGGACTGACAAGATACCTTTTTTATCTCTCTCTCTCTGTCTCTCTGTCTTTCTCTTTTTTTTGGTGAGGCAATTGGGGTTAAGTGACTTGCCCGGTGTCAAGTGTCTGAAGTCATATTTGGACTCAGGTCCTCCTGACTCTAAGGCCAGTGCTCTATCCACTGTGCTACCTAACTGCCCTTCATGAGATAGAAAGACTTATGTCAAAATCCCAGCACTAACCCAGACATCTGTCAATTTCCATGGGGAATTTATTGCCTGAATAACAAACCTTGAAACAGTTTTAGCTTTATAGCCCTGAGTGGTTTTATTTTCATCATTAAAGACAGTGGGAGAAAAGGGCCAAGTTTTTTCAGGTTCTTGGTTCAAGGGTGGACATAAATAAAAGAAGACTCTAGAAAATTGTAAGTCTTGTGCTCACATGAAATCATTTTGTTTTGGAAAGTGGCTATATTCATGTTCTTGCCCTCCCCTCAAAAAACCAGATCAAGTAAAGATTAATCAATTCCAGAAAGAAACATCTCATATCATGGTTACAGTCTCCTGTTCACACCTTAGGGTAGGCAGATAAAATAATTTTTTTTACCCAAGCCTTTTCTGTGGTAGTCACAACTAGCCAAATTCTTGGTCTTCTGCTCTAACCAGTGAGCAGGGAATTGGCCTATATCAGTGGTTCTCAAAGTATGATCCGGGGATCTCTGAGATCCTTTCAGGGGTCCTCAGGATCAAAGTTATCTTTATAATAATAATTAAATGATTAAATTTCTAATACATATTGATAGCTATAATGCCCATAAACAAAAGCTCCCTGGAGGGTTCTCAGTAATTTTTAAGAATATGAAGGAATACAAAGGACTTACAAATATGTATTGTATGGTTTCACATATATATTTATTTCAGATGTTGGCCTTCTCTGATGTGGAGTTCTAAGGAAGGAAGGGAGGGATGAAGACAACTTGGAACTTAAAAAAGAGCTCAAAAACAAGGAGTATAAAGGGGTCCTAAGACCAAAAAATTTGAGAACCACTGCCCTAGATCAGTGGTATCAAACTCAGATAGAAACGGAGCCCACTAATCCATCCAGAAGGATCCTTGCAAGCAGCATATTCACTGTTTTAAAATGTGATGGTATTTATGATTTGTTTTGTTAAATATTTCCCCATTACATTTTAATCTGGCTCTGTGGCACAGCTCAGCCCTAAATGACATTTAAAGTTCCTTCCCTCCTGTGAGCAGTGTAGGTTCAGATGGCTCATCCTTGTTTTCCATTGATGGAAAACAAAGCACAAAAAAGGGGTTGTTGTTTTGTTGCTGTTCATACTTCTTGTCACCAATGACATCATGGGTGAATTGGACTTAAGTGAGGCAGAGTTGCACAAAGTTGTCAGCCTCTCTCTTTATGAGTCATTGAAGTCCAGTGGCAGGACGAAAGGCAGGACAACTGGCAGCGGCCCAGGATGCAGTGGGTGACCTTGGAGTCTTTGTTGTCTGACCAAGCTCTAAGCCTTACACATTGCCTGCTTCAGAGGCCTACATCGCCGTTGAAGCAAATTGTTCTCATCTGCCCATTCCACTGGAGGAAGTCTTCACATGCTTGGGGTAGACATCCCCCTAACTCACAGACGGGTTTTAGGCCTGTAGGTTACCTCCACCTGGTTTAACCGATCCGCTGAGACGGTTTACCGAGGGGTGGCGTCCGCACATGCTACAGCTTCCCGGAGCCACAGGTGGACACCAAAGACGGATGGGCAGCCCTGAAAAAGGCACAGCTTCTCACCAGAAGTGCTGGTTCTACCTGAACACCTCATACAACCTTGAAAGAGAGGTATTGGACCTATTGAAGACCCTGCAGTGAGTCAGAGAGTCGAGTGACCTGTCACAGTCCTTGAATTTCTGGTCACTTGCTAAACTCTCCAAACCACTTTGCCCCTGGAAGGCTTTGTTATTGTTCAGTTGTTTCAGTCATGTCCAACTCTTTGTATGCCCATTTGGGATTTTCTTGGCAGAGATAGTGCAGTGGTTTGCCATTTTCTTCTCCAGATCATTTTACAGATGAGGAAATTGAGGCAAACAGGGTAAAGTGACTTGCCTAGGGTCACACAGCTAATAAGTATCTGAGGTTGGATTTGAACTCGGGAAGATGGCCCAGCACTCTATCCTTGGTGCCACCTAGCTGTCCCCTGGAAAGCTTTACTTGTACCTAAATCTTGGAAGATTTGATAGCATTTTTTACATGTTTGAAATGCTTTATGAACTACTCTTCTGCTTAAGAGTAGTGCCAGTCAGTTTCCTTATCTATAAAAAAGACGGAGTTGGACCAGATGGCTTCTGAAGCCCGTTCCAACTTTAGGTCTGTGTTCTTAGGGCCTGCATAGACACTGAACTGTGGAAGGAAGGCTTGGCCAAGGACCATCCACTCCGAAGATCAGTGGCAGAAATTGGAAGGGGAGCTCAAAAACGTCTGATTTCTTGTTTGCTGAGAGTTTAGTCTTTTGATGGTTCTTATTTCATGAGACTTCTAAATAATAAAGACTAATTTTTCCCCACTCCTGATTAGACTCTCTTCTACCTAGAAGCCAGCGCTGGGGTATCCCTTACCTCTGAGACCTGATTTGGAGTAGCCATTAATAGTTCCTTCTCTGTGCTATCTTTCAGGTAGACTCAAATACTGCAGTGACAGATCAATTTATGAACATAGCTGGACAGCAAACCATGCCTGCCTCACCTCAGTGCAGGTGTAGATCTGTTTTCCCTTCTTTCATCAGAGAAGTCAGTGGAGCCATTGCAATGGTGGATCTTCTCAAAAAATCCTAGAATGTCCAACTTCCAACTTAGGAGTACTCTTAGAGGTCATTACAGAGAGGTAGCTCGTCAAAATAGATTGAGACCCAGGCTTGAATCTTGCATCTCCTCTCAGCTATGTGACCTTGGGCAAGCTGTTAACCTTGATGAATCTCAGTATCCCCATCTGTAAAATGGAAATAATGATACCTAGAGTACTTACTCTGTAGTGATGAGGATCGAAATCCTGGTTCTGCCATTTACTGGCTTTGACTTTGTCCACTTAAGTTCTCTGGCCCTCAGCTTCCCCATCTGTAAAGTGAAGGGGTTGAATTTGATGCCTTCTAAGGCATCGTCCAACTCTAGATCTCTGATCCTAGTAAAACACCTTGCAAACCTTAAAGTGCTAGGTACGTGTTAACCATTATTATCTAGTTGACTCATTTTAATTTTAAGGACCCTGAAGTTGGATAGGTTAAGCAAATTCTTAAGGTCACACAGTGAGTGAATTACAAAACCAAAACCAGAATTTGAGTGTCCTGGCCCTCAGTCTAACGCCTTTCCCATGTACCCTGTCATGGTCATGTCCCACAGTTAATGAATTTCAGACATGGGCAGGATGTGGGGCATGGTTGTCAAATCGTCCATTGCTGTCTGGCAAAGTTACATTTGTACCTTTCCCAGCTCATATGCTTAATTTGCAGTGAAAATGTGACCTGGCTGAGACACTTAAGTGTGCCTGCCTAGCAGGGGTGCCAAAAAAGATACTAGATTTAAGGTTCTGAGATTGTGGGAGGACCTTCTTGATCAAAAGAATAATTTGGTGTATTGTTTTCTGTCTCCATAGCTTTTAAATTTCAGCATCAAAGCCTCAAGGAAGTGTGTAATTTTCTCTTTGGGATTGCCCCAGTGGTAAGATTGCCAGAGGTATAAGATGTTGAGCTTATTTTATTTTGCCAGGCCTCAGTTTCCCTGCTTGTGAAATCTGGAGCACTTTTTTTTTTAAATAAATCTGTTCTGAGTTTTGTATGTGCAGAGTATGACTTCCTAACATGATTTGCTTTGATTTGCTCCTTTTCTTCCTCTTTATTATAGTTCAGTGTTCTCTTAATCAGGGCTTTCATTTTTTTGGAAGGGGCCCTCCTTCATCCTTCTGCCAGTTGAAGGCCTTTTTTGCTGCTGCTGTTCTTCCTCGCTCCTACTGACAGTAGATATCATGAACCCAAGTTGTGATCCAAGCAGCTTTTCCTCTGCAGGGAGAGGCCTGGGTAGGTGGTGTGTAATCTGTACTGTCCACAGGCATTGAGGTGGATTGGACAAAGCACGGGACTTACACCATGAAGACATTGGTTCCTTCCTTTCTTTAAGAAAACAAAACACAAAAACATCAAAACATTTTTAAATGATCAAAATATGGAAGGTGCTAGGCATGGGAGGATATGAAGATGAAGTATTTCAACAGGAGCCTCAAGGATCATATGTGTGTGTGTATGTGTGTGTGTGTAGAGGGGGTTATGGGGGGAAGGGGGAGTAGAATACCTACACAGACAAGTGTAGTACAAAGTAGAAAGTAAAGAGAGGAAAAGGAGAGATTCACATCAAGTACTTTGTCTAAGTTGGAGGAGGGAGTGATCACTTTAGACCAGCTGTTCTCAAACTTTTTGGTCTCTGGAGCCTTTTACAACTCTTAAAAATTATTGAGGACCCCAAAGAGGTTTTGTTCGTGTGGGTTATATCTGTTGATATTTATGGGGTTAGAAATGAAAACTAATGTTTTTAAAATATATTTATTAATTCCTTTGAAATAGTAATAAACCCATTACATGTTAATATAAGTAGCATTTTAAAAAATAAAAATGGTTCCATTTTCCCAGATAAAAAAATTTTAAGAGAGGAGTGGGATTATTTTACATAATTTTTGCAAATTTCTTTAGTGACTGGCTTAAAAGAAGACAGCTGGATTCTTACATCTGATGCATTCAGTCTTTTGCAATATGTTGTTCTGGTTGAAGTATATGAAGAAAATCCAGCCTCACACAGATAAGTAGTTTAAAAAATGGAAGATTATTTTAATAGGCAAATAATGCCTTAGTTTTATTATGAAAGTAGTTTTGACTTCACAGATTGCCTCTACCCCCACTCCCTGAAAGGGATTTTCAAGAATCCTTAGGGAACTGTGGACCATACTTCTGAGAATCTGCTTTAGACTGTAGGGAGACAGGGGCAGGTTTGGCACCTTTATTAGACCTTGAAGGCAGAGATGAAAAATGGGTGGTTTTCAGTCCTAAGAAACTGGTCTTTGGGAATATACAGAGATAGGGGATAGGATTGGGGCTGGGTGAATAGATTTGGGCAACATCCGCATAGAGGGTAACAGATAACACCTAATTCTGTTTAGCTAGTTAAGATGAACCTAGATAGGACACTTCTGAGCCTCAGGTTCCTTATCTGTAAAGTTGGGACAGTAACGCTTATATTAACCACCTCCCAGTATATTTGTGAGGTAGCTAGGTGGGTCAGTGGGTGGAGCTCTGGCCCTTGAGTCTGGAACACCCAAGTTCAAATCCCGTCTCAGACACTCTAGTCACTTACCCTCTGTTTATCTTAATCCACTGAAGAAGGAAATGACAAACCACTCTGATATCTTTGTCAAGAAAACCCCATGGATAGTATTGGTGTGTAAAGGTCCATGGAATCACAAAGAGTTGGACACGACTGAACAACAACAGAAAGTATATTTGTGAAGAAAGCCAGTTGTAAACTGTTACCTCCTATACAATTCTAAGTCATGAGTGGTTAATGTAAATATTAGAGTAAGACTTATAATAAATTAAATAAAATTTAAATCAGTTAAGGTAAGATTGTTGTCTCTCCTCTTGAGGAGGGATCAAGAGTTTGGGGAACAGTTTGACAAGAACGTAGAGTGCTTGAAAAGGGCATGAATAAGGCTGGAAAGGTAAATTGGATTTGAATTGTGGAGGGTCCCAAATGCTTGACTGAGGTGTTTGTATTTTATATTGTAGACATGAGAAAGCACTGAAGATTTTAAGCATTCGAGTGACGTGGTAGAATCTATGTATTAGAATGATATTGTGATAGCTCTGTGAAAGATGAACTGGATAAAGGAGAGATCAGGGGCAGGGAAGCACACATCAGACAAGAGATGATGAGGGCCTGAACATGGGTTTGGATACTGGTGGAGAGGAGAGGAGAGGATAGATTTGAGATGTGGAGGGAGGACTGATAGCTTCATTTGGCCTTACTCTGTTTACTTATTTACTCTTCAGCTGACCAGGACTACTTCCCTGAATTTGATGTGCTGTCCCTGATTCCTGTTCATTTGTTTCCCTCAGGGCCTTGGATGGGACTGCCTTTTCATCCTGCCTTTTAGAATTCTCCAAGATGCTTTTCCAACTACGATGCCCCTCCCCCTCCCCTCCATATAATGTAGAATGAACATAGATTTTTGTTCATTGAAAAAAAATTTAATACAAAATAAAAAATAAATTAGCACTCCCCACCATCACCAAGAAAACATATTAGAGGAGAGTAAGAACACTTTGGAAGGGCTGATTTATTTTCTATTTAAAATTAAAAAATTTCAGTGAACAAAAATCTTATTTTTTCTTCCTACCTTTCCACTTCCTTCCCCATGGAGGGGGGGATACCCCAAACCTTTATAACAGACATTCAGTCAAGCAAAATAAGTTCCCTTGTTGCCCATGCTCCACAAATACACACACACACACACACACACACACACACACACACACACACACACACATAGAGTGAGAGAGAGAGAGAGAGAGAGAGAGAGAGAGAGAGAGAGAGAGAGAGAAAGAGAGAAAGAGGTAAGTAGCATTCATCACCAGAATGCTCCTTAAATTTTTTTCAGAGTATTTCATCTAGTTCTAAGTATTGATCTCATCACACCCTACTGTTATGCTAATCTGTGACTAAGTCTGATCTCCTTAGTAGAATAGTATAGAAGATGATTTAATAGCTGTAAATCTGGCTATTGTTATCATCCTATGTAGCATGTAC